AGTTCCCAGGCTGGTCTTGAACTCCTGGATTCAAGCAATCCATCCACCTTGGCCTCCCAAAGCACCAGGATTACAAGGCTTGAGCCACAGTGCCTGGTCTTACTTTATTTTTATATGCCTCATGGTATTCCTAGAGTCTCTCTTTTTCTGTGCGTGTGTCTGTGTGTGTAAGTGAATGTGCATGCATGTGTGTTATAATAATGTTGGATTTGCTTGTTTATTATATAATTATTTTTACACCATTTGTCATCTAAATTTGCTCATTTAGTATGCAGAGCAAGCTTTTATTTTATTTTATTTTATTTTATTTTGATTTTTTATTTTAAAGATGTGGGGTACAATTCAGGGTTAGGTATACGAATGCTCATTATACAGGTAACCTTGTTGAGGTGTGCCCCCTATACTCCTGGCTGATTCCCACTACTGCCAATTCCGCCCCACCCCCTCCCCACCTGCAGTTTCCCTCTACTGCCAATCCTTTTCTTATAGTATTACAATAATTATGAGTGAGAACATATGATACTCGATTCTTTGTTTCTGTGATAGATCACTCAGTATTATAGACTCTAAGTTCATCCAAGTTGCTGTGAAGTTCATAATTTTGTCCTTCTTTATGACTGTGCAATATTACATGGTGTATATATACCCCATTTTTTTTTTTATCCAGTCCTTTTTCGAAGGGCAGCACCGGTGATTCCATGTTTTTGCTATTGTGAACAATGCTGCAATAAACATACATGTTCAGGCATCTTTTTCAGAGAATGATTTGAGTTCCTCTGTTATATTCCCAGTAGGGGGATTGGAGGGTCATATGGAAGGTCGATTTTCAGATCTTTTAGGAATTACCAAGCTGTTTTCCACAGAGGTTGTACTAGTTTACACTCACACCAACGTTGTAGAAGTGCTCCCTTTCCACCACATCTTCTCCAGCATCTGTTGTTTTTTGAGTTATTGATGATAACCATCCTGATCGGAGTTAGGTGGTAGCTCAGTGTAATTTAATTTGTATTATTTGATGACTAGTGAGGTTGAGCATTTTTTCATGTATCTGTTGGCTGCTCATATGTCTTCTTTTGAAAAGTGTCTATACACATCTTTTGCCCACTTTGTAATGGGGCTGGTTTTTTTGTGTTTTTTTTTTTTCTTTTCAACACATTTGAGTTACTTGAAGATCCTATTTGTTAGGCCTTTGTCAGACATTGGCAAATATTTTTTCCCAGTCTATGGGCTGTCTCCATGCTCTCTTGATGGTTTCTTTGACTTTGCAGAAGCTTGTTGGTTTGATGAAGTCCTACTTGTCTATCTTTTCTCTTATGGTATGGGAACTCGGAGTTTTGATCAGGAATTGGTTGCCAGGTCCAATTTTCATAAGGGTATCTCCTACATTTTCTAAGGTTCTTACAGCTTAAGTTTTACATTTAGGTCTTTGATCCACTTAGAATTGATTTTTGTGTATGATGATAGGTAGGGGTCTTGTTTTAATCTGCAAGTGGTCAGTCAGTTTTCCCAGCATCATTTACTGAATAGATTCTCCTCTCCCCAGTGGTTGGTGGTGGAGGATTTGTCAAGGAAACAAATTGAGAAATTGAGATTTTGCTTCTGAAATCTCTAGCCTGTTCCATTGGTCTAATTGCCTGTTCTTATACCAATACCAGGCTGTTTTGATTATTGTAGGTTTATAATAAAGCTTAAAGTATGGAAGTGTGATACCTCCAACATTGAGTTTGTTTGCTGTTTGTGTGTTTGTTTGTTTTTGCTGATGATTGTTTTCACTATTCATGGTTGTTTATGGTTCCATACAAATTCCTGTATTGCCCTTTTCAGGTCTGAGAAGAATGCTGCTGGTAATTTAATGGGTATTGTGTTAAATCTGTAGATTGCCTTGGGTTGGACACCTTAACAATGTTGATTCTTCCAATCCATAAGCATGAAATATTTATCCAATTTTTGTGTCATCTTTGATTTCTCTGAGCAGTGTTTTGTAGTTTTCATTGTAAAAGTTTTTCACGACTCTGGTTAAGAAGACGTCAAGGTATTTCATTTTTTATGTGTGTGGCAATTGTGAATGGGGTTGTGCTTTTCATTTAGGCTTTTGTTCATTTATTGTTGGTGTATAGAAATGCGATTGTCTTTTGCACATTTATTTTATACCCTGAGACTTTTCCAAAGTCCTTTATTAGTGCAAGGAGGTTTTTGACAGATTTTCTTGGATTTTTGAAGTATAGAATCATGTTGTCTGCAAGGAGGGATAACTTGACTTTCTCTTTTCCTATTTGGATACCCCTGTTCTCCTTCTCTTGTCTGATTGTTCGTACTAGGGCCTCCAAAACTATGTTGAAAGGAGGGGTGAGAGTGGACATCCTTGTCTTGTTCCTGTTTTCAGGAGAAGAGGTTCCAATTTCTGTCTTTTTAGCAGTATGTTGACTGTGGGTTTCTCATAGATGGCTCTTTCTATTTTGAGGTATGTTCCATCAATGCCTAGATATTCGAGGGTTTTTATCAGGAAGGGGTGCTGGATTTTATCAAAAGCTTTTTCTGCATCAAATGATATAATCATGTGGTTTTTGTTTTTACATATATTGATGTATTTAATTACATTTATGGTCTTGCGAATGTTGGACCAGCCCTGCATATCAGGGATGAAGCCTACTTGGTCATGGTAGATGATTTTTGAGATGTGTTGTTGGATCCGGTTTGCTAGGATCTTGTTGAGAATTTTAGCATTTGTGTTCATCAAGGATATTTGCCTTAGTTCTCTAGTTATCTTTCTTTTTTGGATCTTTACTTTGTTTGGGTATCAATGTGCTGTTAGCTTCATAAAATGATTTAAGGAAAGTTCCATCTTTCTCAATTGCCTGGAATAATACTTTCTTTCTTTCTTTCTTTCTTTCTTTCTTTTTTACATGGACAGCCGGAAAGTGAGAAAGCAGAAGTTATTGAGAGGACAGAAAAGTTCCCACAGTGGGAGGGGACCTAAAGAAGCTGCCTTGGAATACTTTCAATAGGATTGGTATCAGTTCCTCCTTGTATGTTTTGTAGAATTCTGCTGGAAAGTCATCTGGTCTAGGGTTTATGGTTTTGTTTTTGGTTTTGTTTTGTTTGGTTTTTTTTTTTGTAGGTACTTTTCTTATGACATAGTCAATTGCCTGGATTGTTATTGGTCTAGTTGGGGTCTCAATTTCTTCTTTCTTGTTTCAACCTGAGGAGGTTGTGTAATATTAGAAAGTCCTCCATTTCCTTTAAGTTTTCAAGTTTGTGTCCATACAAGTATACAGATTAGTCTCTGATAATTTTTTGTATTTCTTCGAGGTCAGTTGTGACTTCAATTTTTGCATTTCTGATTGTGTTTATTTGGACTTTTTCTCTCTTTTTCTTGGTCATTCTAGCTAGGGGTCCATCAATCTTGTTTAGCCTTTCAAATAACCAGCTTTTTGTTTTGTTGATTTTTTTTGTATTATATTTTTGTCTTCTGTGTCCTGAATTTGGGCTTTTATTTCAGTGATCTGGATTCTTCTACTAAAGTTAGGGTTTTGGCTCTCTTGCTTTTCCAGCTTCCTTAGGTGGCTTGTTAAGTTGTTAACTTGTGATCTTTCAATTTTCTTCATGTTATATTCATAGAGATATGAATTTCCATCTTAGAACTGTTTTCATGGAATCCCAGAGATATTGATAAGATGTTTCTTTGTTTTCATTTGTTTCCAGGAATCTTTTAATTTCTGTTTTGATTCCTGTGTTGACACTGGATTTATTCAGCATCATGCTATTTAGTGTCCCTGTCTTTGTGAGTTTTGGGAAAACTTTGTAGGTGTTGGTGTTGATGTTTATTTTTATTCCACAGTGGTCTGAGAAGGTACACAGCAGCATTTCAATCTTATGGAATTTGTTTATGCTTGTTTTAAGGCTGAGGATGTGGTCAATCTTAGAGTACATGAGTAGAATGTATATTCCGTGGTTGTTGGGTGGAGTGTTCTGTAGGTATCCATTAAGTCCATTTGGTCAAGCATCATATTGAGGTTCCAGATCTCCTTATTGATTTTTTGTCTTGATGATCTTTCTAGGGTTGTGAGTGGAGTATTTAAGTCCCCAGTTATGACAGTGTTAGAGTCATTATCTTTTTGAAGTTTACCTAGAAGCTGCTTTATGAAAGTTGGTGCTCCTATGTTCAGTGCATATATGTTTAGGATGGATGTTTCTTGCTGATGGATTGAACATTTTAACATTATATAGTGACCTTCCATATCTTTTTAAATTTTTGATAGTTTAAAGGGTATTTTGTCTGATATTAAGATTGCTACTCCTGCTTTCTTTTGTGTTCCATGCACCTGTAATTTTGTTTCCTGTTCTCTTACTTTGAGTCTGTGAGTGTCCTTTCTGGTGAGGTGAGTCTCTTGGAGACAATATATCTTTGCCTCATGATATTTTATCCATTTTACCATTCTGTGTCTTTTCAGTGGTATATTTAGTCCATTCACATTCAGGCTAATTATTGAGATTTGGGAGTTTATCCCTGTCATGAGGTTCTTATACAGTTTGTTGTTGCTGCTGCTATTTGTTTATTTGTTTATTGTCTTTCTTTTGATTTTTGAGTTTATCCATCATGTGTGTTTCCATCTTTTTTCTGCATTCTTGGGAAGGGTGTTGTCATTCTTTTATTGCTTTCTTCTGTGTTTAATACTTTTAAGTGCCTCTTGTAGATCTAGTCTGGAGGCAGTTAAACTCTTAGGGATTGAATGTCTGGGAATGATTTTAATTCTTCATCACTGATGAAGCTTAGCTTAGCTGTAGGTAATTCTTCATTAAAATTGCTTATCTTTGAGAACTTTGAAGATTGGGCTCCAAGCTCTCCTAGCCTGAAGTGTTTCTGTAGATAAGTCTTCTGTGATTCTAACTGATCTTCCCCAGTAAAGTCTGACCTCTCTCTCTTGCTGCCTTTAGGATTTCTTCTTTTATACCGAGTTTGTGTAGACAACTTACTATATGTCTAGGAATTGGTCTACTCATTTGTTGTCTTGCAGGGGTTCTCTGAATCTCTTGTGTTTGAATGGCCATGTCACTGATGAGATAAGAGAAGTTTTCTTGGATAATTTCATGGAATGTTTGTTCCAGGGCAGTCTCTGTCTATCTGTCTCAGGGATTCCAATTAATCTTGGGTTTGGCCTCTTGAAATAATTGCTCATCTCTTGGAGGTTTTGTCCTGTCTTTTTAAGCTTCTTTTCTATATTTTTAACAGTTTGGGCTAGTTTCATATTTTGGTTCTCCAGCTCTGAGATTCTTTCTTCTGCTTAGTTCATTCTGCTTTCCATGTTTATCAGTTTGTTATTATTTCATTCACTGTATTCTTTATTTCTGTTTTCTCAGTTATCAATTCCTTCATTCTTTCCTCTTATCTCTCCTCATTTCTGTTTATTCTCTTTATTAGTATCTTGATATCTGGGTTTGTGGTTTTAGAACAGTCATTCTGAGGGCTCTTCATTGTTTGCATTCTGAAGTCTGTATTTTCAGTGTCTGACCTCCCAGGTCTGGGAAGTATGAGACCCATATTCTTCCTTTGATTTTTCTTCATTTGTGTAGATTTTGCTCTCCCCCCCCCCCTTTTTTTACCTCTTCTTTAATTATATTTTTCAGTGATGGGGGGGATAGCTTTTATTTCTGTTTGCTCAATCTCCTGTTCTTCCTCATGTAGATCTTCTGGCTTTGTCCAATTCTGAACCTGGACTATGAGTGGAAGGTTGTAGTTTTTGCAGTTTTGAGAATTAATGAGGGGGAAGTTGTGATTTAGAAACTATCTGCAGATCCCAGTATCCACTGACAGGTATGTGGGCCCCCTGGGACCCACTTCCCACCACCTTACAATCTGTCCATGCAGTGGGGGCATAGGTTTGCCCCTGAAAGCAAAATGAGGTAAGAAAAAGGAAAAGGTTGGAAAAAGGAAGGAGGAGGATGGGAGGAAGGTGGAGAGAGAGAAGAAGAGGGAAAACAGAAAGTCATTTGTAACAAATGAAAAGAGACACAAACAAAGACAGAAAAGATTAAAAAAACAAAAACATACAGACAATCACACAAACACACAAACCGAAAAACCTCTCCCACCCATTGATCTACTCTCCCTCAAAAATACCCATACACAAACAGGAAGTCTAAAAAAAGTATTAAAATAACAGAAACAAAGCAGTTATTAAAACATAATCAAGAACAGAAAGAGAGAAGAGAAAAAAAAAGCAAAGCAAACAAAGCAAAACTTGCTCTGAGGTCATTCCTATAACTCCAACTTCCTTTCAGCTCTGGTCTCCAGTCCCTTTCCTCTACTGTCAGAGCAGGTTGATAGGGTTGTTCTCAGCATGGGTCAGATGCCCCCTGGACTACTGTGGGAGGAGGGTGAATTAAATCTGAACTCACCCAGCTTGCTGCCACTGCTGTCAAGTGTCCCACTCAGATCTGATGTGTGTGTGCCTGTTCCAGCTTGGGGGAGGGCATCTGTCACTCCAAGTTTGATGAAATAAACTCTAGGTCCCAGGTTGGAGACTGGGCAGAACTGGGTGGGGCAATGCAGGTCTCTGCCTGGTCCCAGAACAGAGAAAATGGCGCAGTCAACATTTCCTCTCTGATGGTGGGGCTCCTTTCCAGCTTTCTCCTGCTCTCTCCATGGATCCTGGGTATTGTGCCACTCTACTGTCACAGGTGATGGTGTGGGCCAGGCACCAGGTGGTGAGGTTTTGCTGCCTCTTCTCAGGAGAGCCCCAAGAACAGCAGACAATCCCACATGCCTGGGGGCTCCAATCTCAGAGCAGTGGGGTATTGCAGTCACCTCTGGAGGAGATCCCTGGGTGCATGAACCCGAGTCTCTCCTCAGACAGACTTTCACTCACCCACCTGCACATACCTACTCACACAGAGAGTCTTTATGGACATTCGCTTTTGTAGAGACTCTCACAGTCCGACCTGTTCCATCGCCATCTTGCCAGAAATCAAGTTTTTATTTTATTATAACAAAACAAAAAGAGCAATAGAAACAAATAGACTAAAAGAAGTATTTTTCTAAATCCCAAGAAGAATATAGTGGCATAGTGTAGTAAAGTTTCAAATGTTTTAATGGATAAATTTCTTGAGAGAGACATTTTCCAGACATAGTATTCCTACTTAGTGGGAGCCCAGATGATAAAGATGCATAGAGAACTATGGAGCATAACACTTCTGTGGAGGGTTGGAAGTGAAAAATGCAGAGAGCATTCCTCAATTCCTGATTTATTTCTCATGTGACAGATACACCTATGGAAAGCCTGTCCCAGGACTTGCAGCAGTGAGCATGTGCAGAAAATTACTTCACTTTTGGGATTGTCATGAGCCAGAGTACTGTGACAACTTCAGTCAACAGATGAGTATGTAGGGTGCCTGAACGAAGCATATTTGTATACCTAACCCTTAACTGGACCCTACAATATCAAAATAAAAAATATTGATATATATTTTTTTAAAAAAAGATTATTTACACACCACCATTTTGAATTGTCTTCCATTTGAATTGTCTTGATTCTTTAACTTTTCATGAGGTTGCTTCTCTCCAGCATAGACTCGACAACCAAAAGTGGGTCATGTGGGGAAGCACATGTTGTCAACTGTACTGGGCTCAAGAAAAGTTTCTTTCTTTTCAATTTTTGAATTTCAGATCATTAAGGGAGGCATTATCAGATCAGGAGCTCAAGCTCTGCCCGTAGAGTCAGGAGACAGTGAGTATCTTCAAATGTATTTCTCTATTGTTCCCTAATACATCCATCCCTGTCCCTCAGTGAAAGTTCACAAATCAGGAAATTATTTCTATCATCCCTTCACAATGAGGAGGACACAAAGGAAAACAGATCCTGCTTATGATGCTGGTATTTTTAAATTCAACAGCATTCAACAGATACATTTGATTGTCTATTATATATAAGACAATTTGCCAAAGAACACTATTTTTTCACTTTAGTTCATCTCTTTTGTTTGACACTGAAATAAAAAATCTTTTAAAAATCTATGATTTCTTCTTTTTTCCTCCTAACCATAAATACACATTGATCATCTTAATATTTCAGAGAACAAAAGAGTAATTATCATGGGAAATGGGAAGAAAGAAAAGTGACAGATTTTTTTCTGTGACAGATTCTGAGTAATTCATACATGAAATTGGGTACACTTCATGAATACATTGGGGAAAATAAAACAAGATTGTTTTCTATTCTAATTCAACCTGTCAAAGGTGAAGTCACTGAAAAAAGAACCCACAGACATTCTTGTAATTAAAACATTTAAACAACCTCCACCTCCCCCAGAGCTAAACTTAATACTATTAGTAATTATTCCATGTTTAACATTTTCTTCTGTTTTTATCATTTATTTTCCTATCAAACTAGAAAAATAAAATATAACTGATATGCCCTAAGTGACATTTTAAACCCCTTCATCTTCCAAACTTAGGATTTTGCTGCATAATTCATAGCAAACAATGTAAAATTTGGGTGGAGTCGGAAAAATTATCTGTACTGCATAGAGTTAAACAGCTTTAATTTAGCATCTCCAATCTCAGGGCTCTAAACTTTTTTAAAATAAATTTTATTGTGCATATTTAAGTATAAAACACAGTATGTTGGGTGTATATGAAAGGGGACCCCCAAAAATGGAATTATTTTTGCAGGGTGGGTCCCTTTTAGTACAGGTTCCCCCTACTATGTAGGTGTTCTAAGAACCCATCAGCATGTGTACCACCTAGTGTTGCTGTGAGAGGCTGTGTTCGACTTCAGTGATTTTTTTTGGAGATTCTTTCAGTGCATTTGCCCATTTAATGATGAGTGATTTACACAAACAACCTGCCCACACTGGGCTGAATGTTCAACGGTTTTTGACCAAAAAACGGCTTGACCACTGTGCCCCACCCCTCTATTCACCCTATCTCCCCTGGAGCGATTTTGTTTGTTTGTTTGTTTCCTCAAACAAAAAAGTCCTCAAAGTCGGCTGGGTGGCTCAACCTGTAATCCGGTGCCTTTGGGAAGCTGAGGTGAGTGGATTGCCTGAGCCTGCGAGCTCGAGACCCGCCTGGGCAACTTGGCGAGACCTCATCTCTACAATAAATCAAAAATCAGCCGGGCATGGTAGCACGCACCTGTAGTTCCAGTTACTTGGAAGCCTGAGGTGGAAGGATCGCCAGAACCCAGTGGGTCGAGGCTGCGGTGGCCAGGAGCGGCCACTACACTCCAGTCTGGGCGACAGAGTGAGACTCCAACTCAAAAAAAAAAAAAAAGTTCTCAAAGGGAAATGTTTTTGCCGATGCGGAAAAAATGAAAAAGAAAAAGAAAAAAACAGGCATAAGCACTAAAAGGCATCAAAATTGACAAGTTCAAAAACTGTTTTGAGCAGTGGAAAAAGGTGTGTGTGTGTAAGTCATATTTGGCCAGGCACAGTAGTTTAAGCCTATAATCCCAGTACTTTGGGATGCTGAGGTGGGAATATTACTTGAGCACAGGAGTTAGAGACATACATGGACAACATAACAAGACCTCATCCCTACAAAATTCAAAAATTTAGTCAGGCATGGTGGCATGTGCCTATAGTCCCAGGCACTCAGAGGCTGAGGCGGAAGGAAGGATCTCCTGAGTCCAGGAGCTGAAGGCTGCGGTGAGCCATGACTGCGCCACTGGACTCCAACCTGGGTGACAGAGTGAGACTCGGACTCAAATAGTAATAAGTCATATTTGAAAAAAATAAACTATGTGATTATATCTTATAAATTGTATCTCTATATTTAAATTGAGAATCATTTCTAGTTTAAAGTCCAAATAAAATAGTTGTCATATTTATGTATGCAGAACTACTTAGGGTTATTGATATTTAAATTGTTTAGGCATCAGTTAAGTGGAGAATCAGGTAAAAAAAGATGTGCATGGGCCAGGTGCAGTGGCTCAAGCCTGTAAACCTAGCACTTTGGGAGGCGAGGCAAGAGGATTGCCTAAGCTCAGGAGTTCGAGACCAGCCTGGGCAACTTGGTGAGACCTTGTCACTACAATAAATCAAAAAATAAGCCAGGCATGGTAGCACGTGCCTGTAGTTCCGGTTACTTGGAAGGTTGAGGCGGAAGGATTGTCTGAGCCTAGCAGGTCAAAGCTGCGGTGGCCGTGAGTGTACCACTGCACTCCAGCCTGGGTGACAGAGTGAGACTCCAACTCAAAATTAAAAAAAAAAAAGATGTGCATGAAAGGAATTTTATTAGCTTATTCTATACTTGAAGTCATGAAGGGAGACATCGGCCTATTAATTTCACCAAAGAGCTATAATGACATTTAAAGAAACGAAGGCATTGATGCATAGGCACAATTCTAAACTGGAAAAGTGCCTTGACCATGACCGTTTTATCTCATTTTGTCCATACTCCAGTGAAAGGCAGTTTTTCCTTGTCTTTCCCTGTGGAGTCGGACATTGCTTCCATTGCACGAATGTTCATCTTTACCATTTTACCAAATGGAGAAGTTATTGGAGATTCTGAACATTTTGAGCATTTGAACTGTTTAACCAACAAGGTGATTGAACATAAAATTGTAAGAATGCAAACAAATGATACTGTAGGCACCATCTAGTTCACCCTACAGAAAACCAAATCCAGAAAAGTAAAATTAACGTTCCCAAGAAGTTAATGGCTCTGCTTTTTCAATTACGTTAAGTTGCTACAACATAAAATGTCATTCAGTTTGGTGTCCATTCAATTGTATGAGTATATAAGATGCTAAGACACAAAAGTTCCAAAAACCTGAAGAATAAGTGTAAGAATAAGTGAAGAATAAGTGTAAACACCTAGTGTAAACACCTTATCATGCATCAGAGGTAGCGATGAGCCTTTAAAACTCAAAACAAGCTATCTACCCCAATGCTATCTTAGTTGTCTCCCTAAGACAAGATTGAGCGACTGAATAAGACTTTTTTCAGTAAAGTGAAGAAAAGATGTGAAGAGAGGTACCTGGCTGAACTAGCAACAAAGTCATACAAAGCTAAATGTAACGCTGAGTTAGGAAACACAGGTGTCTGCAAGACCGCAGAAGTAGGGATAATACTGGATGACTTGTCTCTCATTTCTCACAGGTGGATTTGAACTTCAGTCCAGCGCAAGTCTTCCAACCTCACATATCCACCTGTGAGTCACAGCTGCTCAGCAGTCCTTCTGTGCCCTCCATGCTGTGGACCAAAGCGTGCTCATGAAACCTGAGGCTGAGCTCTCCCCATCCTCGGTGAGTTACCAGCAGCCCCAGGGATCAGGAAGAGCCCTGCCAGGGGTCCAAGGCAAGAAGCCGCTATTGAAAATAAAATATAAAAACAAAAATACTTACCATTTGTCTAGTCCTTGATAGTTTCTTAAGATGTGTCATTTAGGTGTTCTCACTTAATCCTCCCAACACTCCAGAGAGTAATAGTCCTATTTTAAGGAGAGAAAATTAAGATTCAGAATAGTTGAGAGATTTATGAAAGATAACCCAGGAAGAAGTGGCATAATCTGCAATGTGTCTGAAACTCTGCATGCAAGGTTTGATCCTTTCCGTGACACAACAACTATTTCTATAAGGAATAGAATCTCAGTCTCAATTACTACGTTTTACAATAATCTTAATGAAAGCTATATAATGCTAAGATTCTTCACTTATGTGATAGCCATGTTTAAAACAGAGAATGAATTAATAGGCTTCCGAAAGTATTAGATACTATGAATCCTGTCTAAATAAACTCCCTTTTGGTCACTGGAGTAAGTAAACTTGTTCATACTTACAAGCATAAGGAAAGTCATATGCCTTTTAATAGATCTAACTATTTATGTCTTTAGAGTTATTGGGATCAGTAAAGGTGGTAATAAGTGAGTCACAAATTATTTTCAATTTCTTTTTTTTTTTTTTTTTTTGAGTTGGAGTCTCACTCTGTCGCCCAGACTGGAGTGCAGTGGCCGCTCCCGGCCACCGCAGCCTCGACCTGCTGGGCTCCGGCGATCCTTCCCCCTCAGCCTTCCGAGTAGCCGGAATTACAGGCATGTGCTACCACGCCCGGCTGATTTTTTGATTTATTGTAGAGATGAGGTCTCGCTGCCCAGGCGGGTCTCGAACCCACGGGCTCAGGCAATCTACTCACCTCAGCCTCCCAAAGGCGCGGAATTACAGGCTGAGCCACCAAGCCCAGCTATTTTCAATTTCTAATAAATGACTTATTACACCTTAGTTGGTAATGTTAATTCATGGACTAAAATTCTAATTCTCTGTTTTTTACTGTCGTTAAATTTATCCATGGTGGTAACACTTGGCATGTCATGCTGGTTTATTTTATTATTAATATTATCATCATCATTATGTGTGCTGGACCTATTGGAAGAGCCAAGGAAATAGGAAGAGATATATCACCGTCATCCTTATAGAACTCTCATTCTAGAGGACTACAATATGTGACTCGGCAAAATAAAGGATGAAAAAATGGTTAATATGGGGTTTTTGAAGAAAAAGCTATCAGAAGGAAGGGAAAATTTCAGAAATGACTTGTCTAACTTCTTTAAAACTAGATTATCCATATTTTGAAATCTTTCAATATACTATAAGAAAAAGTATTTGTTGCAATTTGATCATTATTAAAAATTATGGCAAATTTTCTAGCTTTAACAGCTGCATGACTCAACATTTAAAAGGATCAATCATTGTTGCACAACATTGTTAATTTACTTGATGTCACTGAACTGTACACCCAGAAACTGTGAAAAGAGGAAATTTTGTGTTGTATTTTACTTCAATAAAAAGGTGAAACAAAACCAAACAAAAAAGGATCAATCAACTTCCCATCTAGGAGGTATTATTACTTTTCAGTGTTGGAAGGTAAATCAATAATATTAAAGTTTATTCTGTTTGTTCTAGTTTCTACTCTATGTGTATTAAATTCTAAAACTGTGAGGTACTAGTATCAGAGATCCCTGTCTTATTAAATCATCAAAATTAACATTCTTCAGATTGGAGCATGTAAAGTATCCCTCGCCTTCTTCACAAGGTGCATATTCCAAGACCCCCAGTGAATGCCTGACACCACAGATTGTACTGAACCAAATTGCTGTCAACCAGAAAACACTTCTGTTCATGTCATCCATCCACAAATGTAGTGTCTTTTTCATCTTAATTAAGCATTTGTCACATACTGTGGCTGTTTGAGGTGCACGGTTGGAGGTGTGGCAGCAACACGAGAAAGAATTTATTTTTCCTTCTTCCCAATTTCATGGACAGAAGGTTTGTTCTTACTATAGATCTTAGCAACCTCAGCATACAAGTTTGTTTGTTTGTCTTCTTTCCTTATTAAGTGGAGAACTTTCACCTTTGCACTTAAAGGAAGCACTTTACAGCTTCTCTTTGGCATATCCAAATTGCCGGCGCCACTACTCTTGTGCAATGAGGCCATTGTGAAGTCAAATAAGGGTGACTCGAAAAGTACTGCTCCATCTGATAAGCAGAAGGGCTTGTGACTAAGGAGTGGGGAGCTCCACAGTGAAGAGGATTCATGTTCCGAGTGGAACAAAATGGGATGGTGTGAGATTTCATCATGCTGCTAAGAACAGCAGCACCTTAAAACTTATGTATTATTTATTTCTGGAATTTTCCATTTTATATTTTTGGACCACAGTTGACCACTGGAAACAGAAACCTTGGAAATCAAAACCACAGATAAGGGGGTGTCTACTGTAATCAAAATTCTTCTCCACCTTATTACTATTTATTAATAAATTGAAATATCTCCTCATACCATAATAATTATTATAACTATATTTTTCTATTTTAATTAGAGGACAGCATCAAGAAGTTAACCTGAAACAAGAAAATTTTCACTCTGGGTGCTTTCTTTGGGAATATGCCTTTTTTCCTATACTTTTTATTTATGAGTCTATTCTAAGCTATTATTTTCAGCATGTATTAGAAGAATTTAGTCTGTTTTTCAATATATTATGTCTATCTTATCCTATTCTGTTCTGTCATACAAATTTAACAGTTGCTTCGATTGCATAACAAAGTTGAGTATTGTGAAGGTGAGAAGGGGTTATGAACATAAGTGGAGATTTTGGCTGTTAAAGTTATAAAAATCTTTAAGTTCATTTGCGTTGAATAATAATTTAGAAAACATTGGTTCATCCAATATAGATAGTACATGCTCATCTAAGTACTATCTGACTCTTCTACTCAAAAACAAAGGAAAATAGATAAAGAAGTATAAAGGATGTTTGTGATAGCAATCTACTACTACATAACAATTTCCCCCCAAATCTCGTGGTTTAAAACAACAAACATTTATTTTAGCATGCAGTTTCTGAGAGTAAAGAATTCAAAGCAACTTAGCTAGGTGGTTCTGGCTTGTGATCCATTATGATTGCAACCAACATGTTGGCTAGGGCTGCAGTCACCTGAAGGCTTGACTGAGTTTGGAAGATCTGCTTCCAAGACAAGTTTCTCACATGCTGTTGTCGAGGGGCCTCAGTTTCTTACCGCACAGTCTTCATAGGGCTGCTGGATTGTCCTTAAAACATGGTACAGTTTTCAGCCGGGCTCGGTGGCTCAGCCCGTAATCCCGCGCCTTTGGGAGGCTGAGGTGAGTGGATTGCCTGAGCCCGCGGGTTCGAGACCCGCCTGGGCAGCGAGACCTCATCTCTACAATAAATCAAAAAATCAGCCGGGCGTGGTAGCGCATGCCTGTAATTCCGACTACTAGGAAGGCTGAGGCGGAAGGATCGCCGGAGCCCAGCAGGTCGCGGCTGCGGTGGCCGGGAGCGGCCACTACACTCCAGTCTGGGCAACTGAGTGAGACTCCAACTCAAAAAAAAAGAAAAGAAAAGAAAAAAACATGGTACAGTTTCCTTCAGAGTAAGTTATCCAGGGGAGCTAAACCTGCAATAACTTTTATGACCTAACCTTGGAAGTCACACTTCCATACCATTATTTGCACGATATTCTATTGTCTATACAAGGTTAACCCTATTTATTGTGGGAGGAACAATGGTAGCGCATGAATACCAGGAGGCAGAGATTATTGGGGACAATTTTAGAAGCTATCTTACACTTGATCTTAGCCAAAAGGCCGAGAAGCGATTGCTGCACTCCAGTCTGGGCGACAGAGTGAGACTCCAACTCAAAAAAAAAAAAAAGAAGCTATCTTCACAGTCTGCCCTCTGACCCCCAGTGATTCACCTCCCTTACACGTGTAAAATACACCCAGTCTTCTGAGGTCCCTAAAGTTCTCATTTAGCACCAGCTCAGAGGCTAAATTTCATCATCTAAATCAGGCCCAGGTACAGGTCATGCATCTCAGGTATAGTTCCTCAGGTACAGTGCCTGTAGATCTGAAGGCCTTGAACTAAAGTGAATTCAAGTTATTTGCCCCCCACACATTCAACATGTGATGGTGGAATGGCATGAAATCATCATTATCGACACTCTTGCTCACAAAGGGAAAACAGGAGGCACACAGCACTTATTTCTGATCCATAGTTATTCTAAGTCAAACAAATGTCAGAAGTTCTTCGATTAAGACTCAATCATACTCCAGTCCAGGAATGAATTTCCTAGCCTTCGGTTCTACTCTGTGGGTTCTTGGTTTTGCTAAATCATCCTTTTTCCATAAGAAGTGTCCTGTGTTTGTCATTGCATAGACATTGGTCTTTCCACTATAGATCATATATGCTCATTTGTGTGCCTATATGGTTTTTCTATCCAAGAATAAAGCTGAGTAGACATAGGTGGCAATAACAATTTATACCTAAATTCCTCAGGGCATTAACTGTTCATCACTCACAGAGACAAGTTAGATCTCCTTTCTATATTTGGTCTGGTTTTATCTCTAAATTCTGCAATGAAGTTTTAATTAATTCTTCATCATTTAATATTTTATTAATCTCCAGAAGCATTTTTCCAAGTAGGTTTTATTCTTTTTTTTTTCATCGAAATCTCACTTTGTTGCCCAAGCTGGAGTGCAGTGGCACACTCATGGCCACTGCAGTCTCAACCTGTTGGGTTCAGACAATCCTTCCACTTCAGCCTTCCAAATAGCTGGAACTACAGGTATGCACCACCATGCCCAGCTAATTTTTTTGATTTATCATAGAGATGAAGTCTCACCAAGTGGCCCAGGAAGGTCTCAAACCCCTGGTCTAGCCCCGGCCTCCCAAAGTGTTGGAATTACAGGCATGAGCCACCACAACTGGCCAGGTTTTATTCTTTAGAACAAAGACACACTGTCAAAAATAAACAACATTTTTAACTTCTCTTAAGGTACCAAATACTTGAAGATACTCAAGAAAAGATGGGTGATCATTATTGTCTTTCTGTCTGTTCACTATTTTAAGGGAAGCAGGCAAGAGTTCTACCTTTGATCTTCCCACTTTTATAGGTATATAATCTGCTCACTGTGAAAGATCTCACTGATTTTCCTGACAAAGTGGACCAGCAGGAAGAACAAGCAGGTTGTACTCATTCTTATGTCATTCACAGAGGAACTGTCTATGTTCCCTTGCCAAGTGATGATGAAGAAGATATGTATAGCTTCCTCAAGGTAAAATTATAACTACTTGTTAGCATGCCAATGTGTGATTTTTGGATGTTAGTACTATTCTATATCTATAAAAAATTTTAGTAATTGTTTAGACTTGACTATCCTTTTCAGATGAGAAAAAAAATGAAGCCAATAAAAGGATTAAAGTCTCTGTTAAGATCACACGAGATATCAGTTAGTAAATCAGAGCCAGGGCTAGACCTAACCTCTGCCTATTCTTTTTTTTTGAGTTGGAGTCTCACTCTGTCACTCAGACTGGAGTGCAGTGGCTGGAGTGCAGTGGCACGCTCCCGACCACCACAGCCTTGCCCTGCTGGGCTTCGGCGATCTTTCCACCTCAGCCTTCCAACTAGCCAGAACTACAGGTGCATGCTACCATGCCTGTCTAATTTTTGATTTACTGTAGAGATGAGGTCTCACCGAGTTGCCCAGGTGAGTCTTGAACCCACAGGCTCAGGCAATCCACAGGCTGGGATTACAGGCTGAGTCACCAAACCTGGCCTCCTCTGCCTATTCTTACAGTTATTTTTAGTTATATTTAGGGCTTTTTTTTTTTTTGCAAACTAAGGAAGAATAAATAGAATAACAAATAAAATCTTAATCTAAAAAGTATAGTAATTTTACTACTTTGTATGTATTGAGTACTGTGTATCTCCATGGAATGACCATATTATAAGGCTACTGAAATTACATAGGGCAATCTCTAAGGATAGTATGTTTTATAGATTCTAATCAAGCTTACGAGTTGACTGAGTCATCAGTTTTTTCCAGGGCGTGGGACTAAAGGTGTTCACCAACTCAAAAATTCGAAAATCAAAGTCATGTTCAGTCACCTTTACATCTATTAGAAGCAGAAAGGCAAAGATTTTACGGAGGTAAAATAACTTGCTTTTAATTTTGAATCAAATGCAATTATATTACTTTGCATTAAAAAAACCTAAAATGAGATTGATAATGTAAACCATCTCCATTTTATACACACGAAAGACCGAGATTCACATTAGTTGTTTCTTGCTGAGATGACTTAGCTGGTAAATAGTCTAGCCAGAACTGACCAGAGGAATTTTTTTTTAGATGAATCAGATACTTCAGGGCACAAAATCAGATGAGATACAAAGTTTTGCTGTACTATAAGAGAGGGAAATGTTCACAATAAAAGGAGAGAATAATTCGGCTTATGGAATCAGGAAAGACATCTTTAAAAATGCTGTATCTTCAAAAGCAGAAAGAGGACAAAATGCCTCACTAGTGAAAAGAAGCAATATAAATATGACAAAAATGTCTCAAAGACCATGGCCAAAAACACTATTCAAATAAAGCAGCCTCTTTTTTAACTTTTAATTTTTTTATTTTAAAGATGTGGGGTACAGTTCAGGGTTAGGTATTCAAATGTTCATTATGCAGATACCCTTGTTGATGAGGTACGCCCCCCTTCCCCAGGCAGACTCCCATTACTGCCAATCCTGCTTCTCTGCCCCCCTCCCTCGCAGTTTCCTGCTACTGCCAATCCTTTTCTTAGAGTACTAAGATAATTGTTCAAGATCCACTTATGAGTGAGAACATATGAAACTCAGTTATTTGTTTCTGTGAAAGATCACTCAGTATTATAGACTCTAAGTCCATCCAGGTTGCTGTGAAGTTCATGATTTTGTTCTTCTGTATGGCTGCGTAATAGTCCATCATGTATATGTAACACTTTTTTTTTTATCCAGTCCTCTTTTAATGGGCAGCATGGTTGCGTCCATGGCCTTGCTACTATAAACAATGCTGAGGTAAATATACGTGTGAGGGTGTCTTTTGATTTGAGTTCTTCTGGGTATATTCCCAGTAGGGGGATTGCGGGGTCATATGGAAGGTCAACTTTTAGATCTTTTAGGAATTGCCACACTGCCTTTTTTTTAGATCCTCCAACTTCTCATTAAAATATTTGTTTGACACTTGAACATTATCCTTCTCTCCCATAATTTGGACTATACTTTTCTCCAAAATATTTATAATGCCTATCCACTAATAAATATTTATACGTACTGAGCTCAGACTGGGAATCAGAGGTCCTACGTGTAAAGTGAATGTGTAAGGTCTCCTTTCAAAGTCTCAAATCCTTCATTAATAAACTGAAAAGTTTTTACTAAAGTGTCTTCAAGACTTTGCAAACTTTCCAGCATAATAACTCAATATATTGTATCAAAATAAATTAATAATTTTGATTGTTTAAATATTGTTTTCTATATTTCTTGACATCAGGGTTACTCTTAAGGTTAACATTCATCTCTAAGACAGCCTTTTTAATTAAAAAAATAATGCCATAGGATCATTTTTAAAGGACCATGGACTATTTTTCTCTAGGTATAACCTTTAGTACTAGCACAAATAACAAACAGTTTCTCATTAATGACAAATAACTGATGATGTGTAACTAAGATATTATATAAATAATAGAGAATAAGTAAACTAGCCATGAGAGTTACATAGAAAGGACTTTACATTTTTAGCCATGGAGGTTTGGGGGGAAAGGAAATGTTCTATACATTAAAAATAGAACTTTAGGTATATGCTATAACTTTTAAAATGTGTGATAAGTACAGAAATGAGATCAAATGAGTAGATATAAATGACTTGGATGTATGAGGAAATAAAAGCACTAAGAAAATTAAAATATCTTGTAAAAACTCATGAAAATGCCAGGCTCGGTGGCTCAGCCTGTAATCCCACACCTTTGGGAGGCTGAGGTGAGTGGATTGCCTGAGTCCGTGGGTTTGAGACCCGCCTGGGCAACTTGGCAAGACCTCATCTCTACAACAAGTCAAAAACTAGCCGGGCATGGTTGCACATGCCTGTAGTTTCAGCTACTTGGAAGGCTGAGGCGGAAGGATCGCCAGAGCCCAGCAGGTCGAGGCTGCGGTGACCGGGAGCAGCCACTGCACTCCAGTCTGGGCGACAGAGTGAGACTCCAATTAAAAAAAAAAAAAGAAAGAAAGAAATTCATGAAAATAAATTAAAGAACATGAAATTTTTCCCTGGATTATTTGGGGAGCTGTGTCAAACAACCTCAAGGTTTGATAGTGTAGTAGAGTATACATGGAGAAGAAAACTTTAATAGCGTCCTAAGGACCTAAAAGAGAAGGGAAAGTAAGAGTCTTACTCTATGCAAAATAGGGAATTTTCAAAGGAGGAGTGACATGATCTAATATGTGTCTCAATCACACTAGAGACTAAACTTGAAAAAAAGCAAAGTTTTAAGTTTTTGTTATTATTTTACTTGAAGGAATTGAAGGTTCTTTTTTTTTTTTAAGTATTACAAAGCTGGGTTGAGCAGCCTTTTTAAAGTCATGAACAGAAAATTCGGTTGAAAGTATTTTTTGATTAGCAATGAAACAGAATATAAGTGATTTAGTCCTGAAATCAACACATTTTCATGAAGTCAAGTGGGAAAAAGAAGTAAAATAAAGAAAAAAGAGATAAGATTTTTGTCTTGGGAAATAGATTTAAAGTCTTTTACAGTAGAGTTTATTAGATGAGTCATAAGGAAGAATATGACTTTGATATAGAGACTATGAAAGAATCAGATTGATATATAAGAGGAGGAAGTATTATAGCCAGAATTCAACAAATGGAGTTAAAATAACACATAAGATCCTGGTTTGCTAGCTCCAATAGCTGGAGGAGTTGAGGGGTCTTTGACATCTGGGGAAGGAAGTAGAAATTAGTTAATTTAGATGTATTATCCATTCAGATACTTAAATACTAAAGATAAGCATGAAGACAGGGAAAATAGAACATCAGTGAGAAATCGTCAAAGAAATTACTACTAATATTTTTTTCCAGTTGAGAAAACTATAGAGGGGAAATTAATGAAAATGTTTTTCCTTAAAAGTATTGTTTCGAGTCCCAGTTCCACTCTGTCCCAGCACAAGACTTTTTACCCTCTGTTCCCAGGTCCCTCGGGTGGCCACCCCAGTGGGCACACGCCCACGCGGCGTTCCTGTCCCGTGCTCCCTCCCTTTGCCTTTCATTCCCAGCTGCCAACATCTTGGAAGCTGAAGGCAACATGGCCCAGAGACAGAAGGGCCTCTCCAAGGTGGTGGCAAAACCCTAGACCCTCGTCGCCACCACCTTCGCTGCAGTGATTCCCATGGAGCTGCGTGCGACCCGGGCTGGGCCGAACTGCCAGACTACAAGCGGAACCGCAGGAGCCGGCAGGCCGCCATGCGAGCCAAGTGTTCTCCTGCAACCAAGACAGTCCTGCCCTCTGCCGTAAGGCTCCTGTTGCCAGACCTGAGGCAGGCAGCCATCTTGTTCCTGTCTGGCCCCACCCCCTCTGGGCTGAGCAGCTGAGATAGCACCACCTGCTGGTGATTCAAGGGAGTAAACCTACAGCCCCACTGCACAGACAGATTCCAGGGCAGTGGGAAGTGGGTTCCACATTATCCACACACCCGTCAGTGAATACCAGGACCTGCAGACAGATTTGAATCACAGCTCCCCCCTTAAGTAAATCTCAAAACTGCAAAAAGGACCACCTCCAACCTACAGTGCAACTCCAGAATTGAACAAAATAAGAGGGCATACATAAAGAATAGGAGATTGAACAAACAGAAGTAAAACCAATCCCTTTACCCCTGAATAACAGAATTAAAGAAGACGGTGACGTGGAGGGAAGGAAAAAGTAGGGAGGGAGAAAAACCGCACAAATGAAGAAAAACCAAAAGAAGAATATAGGTCTCACACAGACCCCTGGGAAATCAGACACTCAGAAAACAGATTCTGGAACACAAACAATGAAGAGTCCCCAGAATGACTGGTTACATGCAACAAACCCAGACATCAAGACATTAATGGAGAGAATTTTAAAAATTAAGGAGAGACAAGAGGAAAATAGAAAGGAGCTGAATATTGTGATGGAAATGAACAACAGACTAATAAGCATGGAAAGCAGAATAAGCCAAGCAGAAGAAAGAATCTCAGAGCTCAAAGACCAAAACACATAACTAACCCAAACTGTCAAAAGCATAGAAAAGAAGCTCAAAAAGACAGAACAAAACCTGCAAGAGATGAATGACCACTTCAAGAGACCAATCCTAAGAATAATTGGGCTTTCTGAGGCAGAGAGAGAAACAGAAGCCACACTGGAACAAACATTTCATAAAATCATTCAAGAAAACTTCCCTCATCTCATTAAAGATGAAACAATTCAAGCACAAGAGATTCAGAGAACTCCTGCAAGACAACAAATGAGAAGACCAACTCCCAGACATATAATAATTCACCTAAACAAAGTAGCTATAAAAGGAAAAATCCTAAAGGCAGCAAGAGAAAAAGGCCAGACTACCTACCAGGGAAGATCAATTAGAATAGCAGAAGATTTATCCACCGAAACCCTTCAGGCCAGGAGATCCTGGAGCCTTATCTTCAAAGTTCTAAAAGAGAAACAATTTCAACCAAGAATAACCTACCCAGCCAAACTAAGCTTCATTAGTGAGGAAGAATTGAATTTTTTTCCAGATATCCAGTCCCTAAGAACCTATGCTGCCACCAGACCACCTCTACAAGAAACACTTAAGAAAGTACTGAACACAGAAGAAAAAGAAAAAAGAACAACAGCATTCTTCA